TCTCATCCGCCCGGTCAAGCACTGACTCGCGACGATTCCCGACGCCCACAGCAAAATCTCACGATGCAAGGCCTCATCCAGCGGGAGGACCCGCCCAAGCGCCCATTCGTGCTCACGCGCGCCTACTTTGCCGGCTCGCAGCGCTTCGGCGCCATGTGGACGGGCGACAACATGGGCGACTGGCCGCACCTGCAGAGCACCGTGCCGATGCTCCTCACCAACAACATCGCAGGTCTCTCCTTCTCGGGCTGTGCGTGCCAGTCTCCCCTTGCTGCAGTCAGAAGAGCCTTTCTCACTGACCCCGAGCGATGTGCGACAGCCGACGTCGGCGGCTTCTTTGGCAACCCTCCGCCCGAGATGATGACTCGATGGCACCAGATTGGCGCCTTCTCGCCGTTCTTCCGCGCCCATGGCCACATCGACACCAAGCGCCGCGAGGTCTACCTCTTCGACCAGCCGTACCAGGGCATCATGCGCGACGCCATCCGCCTGCGCTACTCGCTCCTGCCGACGTTCTACACGGCCTTCTATGAGCACTCTCTGGCAGGCCTTCCCATCCTCAGGTACGCTCCTCGCTGCTCCCGTTGACGAGTGCCCGAGCTAGAGCTCACGGAGGCGCCTCCTGATCCAGGCCGCAGTATGTCGTCTTCCCGGACGACGCAAAGGGTTTCGCGCTCGACGACCAGTTCTACCTCGGCAGCTCGGGCCTGCTCGTCAAGCCCGTCGTCGAGGAGGGCGTGACAACTCAGGAGGTCTACATCCCGGACGACCAGGTTCGCTCTCGACGACGCTTTACCTGCACCGACAGTTACGCTGATGCCTGCTCTGCGCAGCCTTACTATCATTACCTCACCCACGAGATCTACTTTGGCGCCTCGCACGGCGGCGCCCACGTCAAGGTGCCGGCCCCGCTCGAGTCGATCCCGGTCCTGCACCGCGGCGGGCACATTCTCGCTCGTCGCGACCTCATCCGCCGCGCTGCACCGCTGGCGTGGAAGGACCCTGTCACGCTCGTCGTCGCCGTCGACGTGACGGGCTCGGCCGCCCACGGGTCGTTGTACCTCGACGACGGCGAGTCGTTCGCCAACACGCGCGGCGAGTACGTCTACCGCGACGTTGCGCTCGGCCCTCACTCGCCGAGCAAGGGCTCGAAGGCGCTCGCGCTCCGCAACCGCCCCAAGGACGCCTACGATCAGACGAACGCGTTCGCGGGCACGATCGCCAACGTCAAGGTCCGCGAGGTCCTCGTGCTTGGTCTCGCTGCCAAGCCGTCGTGCGTCCGTGTCGCAGGCTCGAGCGCTGGGCTCGACTTCGAGTGGAAGGATGGCGCGAGTGCGACGGGCTCGCGGCGCTCGTCCGGCAAGGGGGCGAGCGTCCTCGTAGTCAAGGATGCCGACGCTGCGGTCGTCGCCGACTGGGACCTCGTCATCGAGTTCGACTCGTCCGCCGCCTGCACCTCGACCCCCGCCATCGACTACGATGCGCAGCTCGCGTCGCCCGAGTGCCCCGCTGGCCAGTTCCTGTGCCGCAACGAGGGCCACATCCCGTCGTGCATCCTCCGCTCGCGCGTCAACGACGGCGTGTGCGACGAGGAGTGCTGCGACGGCTCAGACGAGACGGATGGCAAGGCCCTGTGCCCCAACCGCTGCAGCGCCGTCGGCGAGCAGTTCCGCAAGGACCGCGCCGAGGCCGAGCGCAAACGCCGCGTCGGCGCGAGCATCCGCAGCGACTACATCAAGCACGGCGCCAGGGAGAAGAACAAGCTCGAGAACGAGATTGCGAAGGTGGAGCGCGAGCTGGCGACGCTGCAAGAGCGCGAAGAGGCGGCGCGGCTCGCGCTCGAGACGCTCGAGAACGCCGAGGCAGGCGAGATCCAGCGCAAGAAGGAGAGCCAGCTGTACGAGCGCATCGTCGAGATGCAGGACGCCATCAAGTCGCTTCGCACCCATCGCGAGAACCTCGAGGGCCACATCGCCGACTTGAGCGAGATCATGACTGGCCTCGCGGTGCGCCCCTGTCTGCTCTCACTCTCGCGACTCGCGAACACCGTCGCTGACTCGCTGAAGCAAACACCAACAGCGCGACTTCAACCCCAACAACCAGGACATGGCCGTCCTCGGCGCGACGCGTGCCTACGCCGACTGGCGCAAGGCGAACGGCATGGAGGTCGACTTCGAGGTCTACGGCGTCCAGGGCTCCTCCACGATGACCGACGAGCCCGATACACCGCCCATCACGAAGCCCGCCGAGGTCGAAGAGCCCGTGCGCGAGTTCTCGGACGACGAGCTCAAGCAGCTGGAAAGCGAGGACCCGCTGTCGCTGATCGACTCGCTCAGTCTGCGCGTCGGCCAGCCACTTGCTTCTGGTGTCACGAGCAGTGCGTTACTGGTCCTCGGTGCGCGATGCGGCATCACTCTGACGCTCTCGCGACCCGCAGTCTTCCGCATCGAGGACTACTTGCCCGACAAGTGGCGCCCGGCGTACGACGGCTACAAGCAGACCCTCCTCGAGCTGCTTTCCCGCACGGGCATCATCTACGCGCCCGTGCCGTCGGCCTTCGCCGGGTCCGACCACCCGGACCTGCTGCGTGCGCGCGCGGCGCACACCGAGCTCGTCGAAGAGATCCGTCGCACCGAGGGCAAGCGGGACGAGGCACGCAGGGCGCTCGAGAAGGACTGGGGCCGCGACTGGGAATGGAAGAAGCTGGACGGGACCTGTGTCGAGCAGAACACTGGCGAGTGCGTTGACGGCTTTCCTTCCTTGCTCGCTCTGCGGCGTGCATGCTGATTCCTGTCCTGCGCGCGCAGGTACACGTATTCGGTGTGCTTCTTTGGCGAGGCCACGCAGAAGTCGAACAACAACAACGCGCGCACGAGTCTCGGGTTCGTCCGCTCGTCTTCGCTCGGCTTTGCACCTTGCTGACCGGCTCCTCCGCCTCGCAGTCGCTTCAAGGGCTGGGCCAGCGATGCCGAGGAGGGGACCGATGCCTACTACCGCAAACAGCTCTACGCCGACGGGCAGAGATGCTGGAACGGCCCGCTGAGAAGCGCAAAGGTGCGGAGTTGTCGTTTCGTCGTCCCGATGCCTGACCCCACGCTGACCGCCTTGATGCGCGCAGATCGACCTCGTCTGCGGAACATCGAACGCGCTGCTCGAAGTCATCGAACCGGAGAAGTGCGAGTACCTGTTCACCGTCTCGACGCCTGCCGTCTGTTTGCCCGACGAAGAGGCGGAGCGCGCCAAAGACGAGCTGTAGCGCGGGACAGTGGCGTCGAAGGTTTTAGTCAAACGCTAGAAGTCCGTCATTCTCGAAGTCGCGAGACGTTCTTTTTCGCCCGCCGCTCGATCGATGCACGTCGTCCCGCGCGCACCCGCTCCGACCGGCTACAGCGACGAGTCCCACAAATCCCCCTGCGCCCACACACCCGCGATCGCCGCAACCACCATCCAGCACCTCGCGCGCCCTTCTGCCTCCTCCTCGTCCTCGAGCCGCTCCTTCATGCTCCTCCCGCCCGTCGCGGCACTCGCGACGCGCTTCTCTCGCGCAGCATCGGACGCCTCAGCCATCGAGACGAGCGTCTTGGCGAGCTGGCGCAGCGACGCGAGGTCGTCGCCGTCGAGGAGCTGCTCGAGGCGCGTCAGGCTCGAGAGGATCCAGTGCGACTCGTGCGCGGTCGGGAGAGGCGGGCGCGGCGCTACTGGGGCCTTTGTCGTCGCTTTCGGGAGCGGTGGCGCGGTGACGGGCTTGGCCTTGGCTGCGACGCCAGCTCCCGCTTTCCGGCGCACCGCGGGCGGCGCAAAGATGGTCGACGGGACAAAGTTGATCTTGTCCTCGTACGCTTCGATGCGCTCGAGGAACCAATCGTTGAAGTGCGAGAGGAGGTGCATCAAGGTCGGGCTCGGGATGGCGACGAGGAGGGCTGGAGAGGGTAGCTGCGGCAGGCGCTCGTACTCGGGGGTCGGCGCTGGTGCAGGTGCCTCGGTAGCTGCAGGAGGCGGTGCGGGGGCAGGGATGGTTGCGGGCTCGGGCTCATATTCGGGAGCGTCGAGGTCGAGTGACGCGAGGATGGCTGCTTTGGCCGCCTCAAGGTCGTTCATCTCGATGTCCTCGGTTGGCGCGACGTGGCTTGCTGTGACAGCGGGGGCCGATGACGTGCTAGTCGGCACTACTGCTGTTGGCGCTGCGACCTTGACCGCCTTGGAGCGCTTGCCGTTGATGAAGACGCGCCAGGCACCCTCGTCGCGCGCCGACGGCAGCAGTCCCGGGTCAACGGGCGGCATGGAATGAATCGGTGCAGTGAGCATGCGCTGCGCGTGACCGTGACAAAGTCAGTCCGCAGGAAATCGCGAGGGCTGCACGAGGCGAGAGAGAGGAGTTCACCTGCCGGGCCGCCTCGAAGTTGCGCACAAACGCCTCCCGCCATGCGACGCTCGGCCGACTCGCAGGTGCAGCTTGCACAGGCGTAGATGCAGCTTCGGATCCCGCGTAGGGGTTCTCGACGCGGACCACCTTGGCGTGGGTCGCCGCCTCTCGTCTGCGTGGTGCACGAGATGGGTCAGCTCTCGACCAGCTCTCAAGCACTGCCGAGGGTGCGCACCTGACGAGGAAGAGGTACTGCGAGCCGTCTTCTGGATCGCCCGCAAAGTCGTCGCCGAGTTCAGCGACAGGCAGGACCTGAGACCCGAGGCCACCGCGCGGGGCCTGGCTGTCGTCCCGACTCTGGGGCGCAGGCGTGAAGTGGAACGTCATGCCGATGCGTGAGTCGGTCATGTTGCCCTCGTCCTTGCGCGAGACAGGAGACGGTGGTGATGGGAGGCGAAGCAGCGAGAGAGCGAGGCGGTGCAGGCCTAGGCGCGAGAGCGTTCCGTCTCCCTCTTCCTCGGCAGCAGCGCGAGCCTCTGCACACAGCAGGGAGGTCTACGGAACACTTGCAGTCTGCGCCACGCGTTCATGCCTTCTGCACACCCGCTCGGAAAAGAAGGGAGCAAAAAAAGAGAAGTGGCCCTTTCCGGGATTGAACCGGAGACCTGCAGAAGGCGTGAGCTGCCTGGCGGCAACTCTTCAGTCTGTCGCTCTCCCAACTGAGCTAAAGAGCCTGTTGTAAGGAGGTAGCAAAATTTACAATGTCATTGCTGCAGTCTTTGCTCTCCCGTCCCCTCGAGTTTTCGCGCCGAAAAACAGCCGCACTATGACTTGGAGGCTGTCTGCTTACTGCAGCCACAGGGAGTCCCCCAGACAAGGTGCGAGAAGGCGGATCGGCCAAGGGCCCAGGGATCCTTCCTTGCAGGCGTTCGGTCGACCCGCCTGGGCCTTGCCCTGTTCTCTACGACGTTCAGCACGTTGGCCGGGGGCGGTCCTCTCTCGTACGATGCTATCAATGTCGCCGGTCGAGGGCCGGATCCCGCGACGGAGCGGGCATCCATGCCGGAGAGAGCTACGCCCGCCGATTGACCTTCTTAGCTGGAGACGACCTTGCGTTGCCTCGCCCTCCAAGCATGTGCATGCCCTGGACGAATTCAGATCCTCTAGCAATAATGTCCCAAAACTCGCCTCACACACAGGATACGGGAAGCTGTGCCCGTTTGCGGTCGAGCGACGGCGCACGAGCCTCTTGCTCGCGGTTGGCGAGCGAGCAGCTGTTCGCACGCACATCCTCCGCGCGCTGATCTGTCTGACTGTCGGTCAAGCACATTCGTGGCAGCTAGCCGGGTCCGAGCCTCCTTGACGCTGCTTCGTCGCTCGTTCTTGACAAGGCCGCGGCGAGAAAGTGGACCTCAGGGCTCGCCGAGGACGGACAACCAGTGACAGGGGTTGCTCTCTCGGGCACCGGGATGTCGCAAAGCCGCACAGGCTGACAAACACACTCCATTTCACGCATCGAATCTCGCGCCGAGTCGCAGCCTGCTGAGACTGCGTCTCCTTCTCGAATCGCATCGCCCATGTCGCGTCGGCGTTTCCAACCGAGTCTCCGCCTTCCCTGTGTCCGTCGACGGACGTTCGTCGTCGGTGAGGGCACATGGAGGCCTTTGCAACGTGAGCTCGACAGCGTGGCAGCCATCTCCGGCCGGTCGACCTTCCCAAACCGGTGTGGATGGCTGGCGCGCCCTGGCCGTGCGCACCATCGCTGTGGGGACTCCGCCTGCGTTCCTGCTCGTCTCAGAAAGGTCGGACATGGCCCCCGTACGATCGGTCGTGCATGCGTCGGCCTCGTGGCTTGGGCGGCTTGGGCGGACGAGGCGAACCGGCCTCACGTCCAGCTTCCGGCGTCGACTCGTCTTCCGCCATCGTGCTTCTCTCCCTTCGTCGCCTACTTCTCTCCTGTCCTGCGGCTCAGCTCTCTCTCTCTCTCTCAAGCAGCCGCCATGGGCACTCGGTCCGAGACTCCGTCCAAGCGGTCCTACGCAAAGGTGCGCCCGGCACTCCTCTCCGCAGGCCCTCTCCCCAAGTTGCGAACGACCCCCCTGATTGTCCGTCGGCCTACCTGCAGCTGTTCAGCCCCAGGCGTCTCGGTCTCGTCCTCCCACTCGTCCCCTCGTCCATCGCGTCGCTCAAGTCTCGCCCACGGGCCCCTGCGCCGGGGAAGCGCTCGGCCGACAGTGCGACCGGGGAGTCGGTTCGCGTCATCGAGTTCGTCTCTCCCTTTGCCAGCGTAGGCAGCAAGGCCGCGCCGACGACGTCGCCGACTTCCGAGGAGCGTCTCCGCCCCACCTGCGGGCGCCGCCTGTCGAGCGAAGAGCGCGCACGCCTGGCCAACGGGTCGAGGACTGCGGTCGTCGCCCTCGAGACGACACCCGGCAAGAGGCGCAAGAGCGTCGTCGACCTGGAAGAAGTCACCGACGGGTTGCAGCGCGCCTCGGTCACTGGGCGTCGCCGGTCGTCCTTGACGCCCCTGGGCCAGGCGAGCGCTGGGCCGCGATCGTCCTTCGCCTTCACTCCCCTCGACGACTCCTTGGCACGGCCAGAGTACTCGTCGCCGCGGCCCTCTCGATTCGACACGTCCGGCACCCTCCCCATCGACTTCGAAGACCCCTTTCCCTCGCCGCGCTCGCCCGTCTCGGCTTCCCTCACCCGGGAACGCCCGTGCGCTTTCTTCGACGAGGTCCTTACGCCCGGTTTGGCCTCGCCAACTGCGCCATCGTCGTCCTCGATCGTCTCCAGCCCGTCGCTGCCGCACCTCAAGAGCGCGACCGCCTCCATCTGGTCGCAGAGCTCGTTCCGTTCACTCGAGCCGCGGTCACCGCGCACAGCCGAGGGGCCGACATTTGCGCCTGACGAGCTCGCGACTGAGCCCGCCTTCATCCGGTCGCCGTCGGGCATCCAGATCCGGGTCCCGCTGGTCTTTCCCTCGCGCCCGACGTCGCTCCGCTCGCGGTCGAGCCGGTTGTCAAGCGTGGATACCAGAGCGACGTCTCTGGTCGACGACGAGGACGGCGACGATAAGGACGAGACGGATGAGCTCGTGGCTGTGGTTGCGAAGGTGCTCGCCCGGTCCGAGGCGGCGACCCGCACGATCCCCTCGTTCCCCTCTCCCTTCCCGCCTGCCTTCCTCTCTCCAACACGACGTACCGTCACGGCCGACAGCTTCTCCAAGCTCACCTTCCCCTCGATGCCGACGCTCTTCCCCGACTCGGTCACGGTCCCGACCGAGCGTCGACGACCCAGCGTCGCCAGCTCGTACCACGGCGACCACGTCTCGACGCCGAGCACGTTTGGGCCCCGTCGGTCGGTCACCGAGACGGGGTTCACCCTGAGGATGCACGACGTCTTTGCCGAGGCGTTTGGTGCGGCGGGCGGCAACGACTCGGAGCCGGATGCGCCCTCCGCCTCTGCGTGAGCAGCCCCTCTTCGTCCTGGGCGCTCCCTACTGTAGAACTCGATTTCCACGCTGTTGTCAACCATAGATGCATCGGCCGCGCCAGGATCGTCTCCTCGAGTGATGGCGAGCGCACGGACCATCGAAGCTAGGCGGAGCCGGGAAGGCGACGCCTCGCGCGGCGCGCGGGCCGCAACGATTCTGCCCTGTCGCCCGCTGCATCGACTGAGCGTCTCTTCCGGTCGAAGCCCAAGGCGGGCCCCCAACCTTGTCGCACTCGCCTTCGCAGGAAGAGGCAACGCGGCGATGCAGCCATCGTTCTTTTGGCCCTCGAGCACTGAGCAGCCGACTCGGCTTCGCTGTCCTTCGCGAGCTCGATGCACGTCGAGTTCCGTGCTCTGAGAACCGCCGAGGCGAAGGTGTGCCAGGGCGTGCCGTCTTCCCCCGAGTTGCGGTCCCTCACTGAGGCGGTTGCCCGCCCGAGCGCAGAGCATGAGGAACCCTCGCGCCGAGCTCAGGAATGCTCCAACCAGGTCAAAGGAGCCCATGCGCGGGATCCTTCTGCCCGCCTGTCGCCCGAGAGAGGACGCCAAAGAGGTTGCCCCAACGAGCAAGACGACGCGGCCTACTCGAGAAGGTCAACTCGGACCCCCGTCCTCAGCCTCCTGCCCGTCTCGGGGCGGATCTACCGAGTCGCGCATCTGCATCAGCGATCGACTCCCTCTTCGGGCCCAAGTCTATTACTCCAAAGAACAACAAAGGTCGGCCTTCCATTGCGGATGGGCGGATGCGGGCTACGGCGGATGGCATGCACGACCGTGCGCGAGCCTGGCAGGGCGACTGTGTGCCCCCGTGGGCACACGCTGCCCTCGCTCTTGCTCCCCACGGTTCGGAAACCCTGCGACACGGCGCGCAGCCGAGGAAGGTGCGACACAGGTTGACCGAGAGACGTGAGAAGGCGTCTTTGTCTCTCCGCTCGGAGCCTCTCTCCCCCGGCCCCTCGACTCGAAGCCTCTTCCTCCTCTTCTTCGCTCACCCGCCGGACCGACTCGAGACAAGCGTCCTCAACCTGTCGAGCTCCCGACGCGACGCCTCCTCCGCAGGCAACAGACGAACCTGCTTCAACCTCCCTCGCACGATCCCTCTCGACACCGCCTCGCTGGCCATGTCCGCGCCCGCCTTCACTCGGTCCATCACTCGCGAGGAGCGCCCCTTGCGAGCGACGTACTTCTCTCCTCGCGACTGGTCGCCGCCGACGACGCCGTGGAGCAAAGACGTGAGTCGCGACCGTGCCCCTCGTCGTTTGCGAAGGCCGCCAGGCTGCTCGCTACACCTCGTCCCGCACGGGCACACAAGATCACCTCACTGACTCTTCCCCTCTGCACAGCGCCACGCCATCGACAGCGCACCCCGAACCCGCGTCGACAGCCCGCCTCTGTACCGCGCCACGGGCCCAGCCTCGCTCAGAAAAGCCCCTCGCCGTCCCGTCTCCTGCGCCGAAGCCGTGCCGCCCGCCGGCCCGCGCTCCTTCGACGACTCCAACGACGACGAGGACGTGCGCCGGGCGTCCTGCCCGCGTGCCGCGCGCGCGTGTGCGTCGCCCTCCCCCGCCCTCTCGTCCCGCCCCGCCGCCGCCGCACCCGCCTCGCGTTTCCCGACCCACGCGCGCCCGTACTCCTACACCCACGCCGCGAAGCCCCTCCCCGCCCACTCGCGGCACCCCTCGTCCAGCTCGTCCGCGACGCTCGTCGACCCGCCGCCCTCGGACCTCGACCTCGACTACCCGCTTGACCTCCCGCTCAAGCCCAAGCCCAAGCACTCGACGCACGACCTGCGCAGCACCCGGGCGACGAAGCGGACGACGCGGCGCGTCGAGGGCAGCGTGTGCGCAGACGGCACGTGGCACCTCGTCGAGCGCGTGACAGAGGTCTTGGTGCGCGTCCCGCCGCGCGGACCTCGCTGCGCGCCACGCGCGGGGTCGCCTCGGCGCTCGCGGGTGTGCTCTGGAGCGGAGGAGGGGCGCGACGAGGAGGAGGAGGAGGAGCTCCAGCCGCGGTTGGAGGCGCTCAAGCGGACCCTGCGGTCGCTCTCCTGCTCCTCCTCCTGCTCCTCCTCCTCGTGCTCCTCATCGCCTTCCTCCCCCCGCCCCCGCCCCCGCTGGGCCCCC